TCTGTCTGTCTGTCTGTCTGTCTGTCTATCTATCTATCCATCTATCTATCTATCTATCTATCTATCTATCTATCATCTATAATGAACTGGGTTGCATGGACATATCAGGAAGTAAAGAGATCATTATGAAAATAGTCTTGACCATGGGATTATGTGAAGCTTTTTCAAAGTAAACTTACAGCTACCTTGATCATCTTTTTAAAAAGATAAGATTTTTTTAAAATCTAACTATTCCTTCCCCCAAACTTAATTTAATTTTTAGGTAGGAAATAAGGGTAGCCAGGCTGCAGGTGTGGCAAGCATACATTACAAAATTTTCACAGGAAGGAAAATCAAAGGATGCCACAAATCTTTTATATCCCTGCTACAGAGAAACAGCAGGAAAAAAATTGTTAGACAGCCAGGTAAGGTCAAACAAAGATAACAAAGCAAATATGAGGTTGATGGAGTCACCTTATAAAGGAGGATGGACAGGTAAACATAAAGATAGAGGGATTGACTTGTGGAAAACCTAAGAAAAGTATAGAAAATTAAATGTCTATGGAGATTCTCAGTCATCCAGGTCATGGTTGTCCCAAAGGTGCTTTTTCTAAAGGCAACTGGACTTTGATTTTCCTTGAAGATGTTTCGCTTCTCATCCAAGAAGCTTCTTCAATTCTGATATTCAGACTTCAATCAGACTTCAGACAGACTTCAGTCTGAACTGTAGAAGCATCTTGGATGAGAAGCAAAATGTCTTCAAGGAAAAACAAAGTCCACTTGCCTTCAGAAAAAGAACCTTTGAGATACAGAGGGCATTTATGTGGTCTTCAAACTAGAGAAGTAATTCTAAATGTTAGGTACACTTCAGTTATTCCAGAAGTGGATTGTGAATGGATTTTTTCCAAATGGAAGAGCAGAATATCAATTTCCTAAATAAAGAAATTAAATAGCATTGTTTTTCAGCTTGCTGCTGAGGGGACCATGTATAGCTTCTTCCCTCTTCTATTATATGTATTCTGATATGTTGGCACCCACCTAGCACGCACTAATCTTTGCAGCCAGCACAAATTCAAATGCATTTGTTCTTGTTTCTGTTAATTACTCCTGGAGCTGCCAATACTAAGGTTATTTTTCTTGCCAGCTTTCTTTTTCCATACCTCATTCTGAAGGCAGAAACAGAGCAAGTTCTACAAACAAAAGGCAACATGAAAAAGTTAGCTTCTGTAGCCTCAATGACCCAGTCTCTTCCAGCTGGCTTTCCTATATAAACAGACATACCTCCCTGCAACTGCTTTTATTTGAGAGGCTAGAGGCAAAAAAGAAGACCGGGGGAAAAAAGTTCACTCAGAACATTGGAAAGCTCAAATTGGTGGTGCCTGTCTTCTGTCTAACTCAAGCTCACTCAATCTTTCATCCTTCTGTAGTCGGTAAAATGAGGACCCATATTGTTGGGGGCAATAGGCTGACTTTATAAACCAGAGGTCCCCAACCTTTTGGGCACCAGGGACCGGTTCTGTGGAGGAAGGTTTTTCCACAGACCAGAGAGTGTGTGGTTTTGTGTGCTGCCTGCATCCCACCGATGGGGCTTTGCTTGTTTGTGCAGGCAAGTTGATGGCATGCCGTGGACCTCTGCTATAAACCACTCAGAGAGAGCTGTAAAGCACTGTGAAACAGTATATAATTCTAAGTGCTGTTGCTGTTGCTATACCACTGCATCACCAGGGCTCTTGTTGAAGACAGGGATCAAGTGGTCCCTGAAATACATGAGCTTTCATGCCATCCTCTTAGTAGCACTGATATTGTAGTATCATATATTCTAATAGCCTTAAAAATGAACAAACCATAGTTTTATCTCCAAGGCGATAACCATCTCCAATCATCCACCCTCAGTATCTTCTTGGGGCCTGCAAAAATGGTAAGGTGACCAACCGTCCTCCTTTAGGGAGGACCGTCCTCCTTTTGTGAGTTCCGTCCTCCCTCAAAAAGTGTCCTCCTTCATGTCCTCTTTTTCGATATTTGAAGACTAATCTGCAGGGCTTTTTTCCCCCCTCATAGAATGCTCAGAATGGCGTTCCGGCACCTTTTTTTTGATGGTTTTTTTTTCAACTTTTGCATGAGCTGTGCTACTCCTTCTATTGGCTTTTGAAAGCCAATAGGAATTGTTGCTGAACGCACCAAAACACCCGGCTGGCAAACTTTGTACATGCAAGTTGTCTGTATTATTGTTGCAATGAATAAAATGTTTCTTTTATTTACGATATTTTTTTCTTCAATTTATTTGTGTCCTCCTTTTCATTATAAAAAAGTTGGTCACCTTAAAAATGGATATATTTCCTTTCTCCAAGTCATAAGGCAATTAAAAAAAAACCCCATGTTAAATAATAAGGATTTACTTCTGAAGGGACTCTCCATCTGATTGCTGGATCCTGCTTCTCATATACTATTCTTGATAGATGGTAGGGAAGGGATGGAAAGGTTAACCTGTGATTAGAAGAAGTATAATAAACTCACGTATTGTTGCCTATTTCTTCCTGTTTGAAAAATGAGGCCCATTTGTCACTGAGGATTCAGTGCTCTGCATGGCACACCCCTTTGACCTTGTGGTCGATAAATAATGCATCCTGACCTGGAGGAATGAACTAGACTTTACTTATGTACTTACAGACTCAGGAGACAGTGAAGGATGGTTTTCTATGGACAGGCGTCTGCCTGGTGGTTCTTCTAACCTGTAAGATGAATGGCCCAAGCAAGCTAAGAATAGTTATTTCAAGTTCAAGCTTGCCTGTATCAACCTATTGTCCAAGATGGACATTCATAGTGGGTTTCTTTGGAGCGCACTCTGCTGGAACTGAAGCAATTGTAACGGGAGAAACTCAAATTAATTTGGTTTTCTTTGCTCCCTCATTGGTTTAACTCATTGTAATACTAGTTGAAATTGGTTTTTGTTATAAATGTATTTATTTATTTCATTTGTATCCACAAATAACTCAAGGTGACAAACAGGTCCAACACACCTTCCTCCCTGGGTTTCCCCACAACAACCCTTTGAACAGGGTTGGGCTAAGAAAGTAACTGGCTCAAGTCAACAGCCAGCTTTCATGACTAAGGCAGGATTAGAAGTCACAGTCTCCTGGTGATGGGCCCAAAGTCCATCAGCTGACTTTCATGCCTAAAGCAGGACTAGAACCCACAGTCACCTGGTGATTGACTCAAAGTCACCCAGCTGGCTTTTATGCATAAGGCAGGACTAGAACTCACAGATTCCTGCTTTTTAGGCCAGCACTTTTAATCACTAGACCAGGGGTAGGCAACCTGGGCTCTTTTATGACTCGTGGACTTCAACTCCCAGAATTCCTGAGCCAGCATGGGGGAACTATGGCCCCTTCATGACTTGTGGACTTCAACTCCCAGAATTCCTGAGCCAGCATGGCTCAGCTTGGAAACCTCTTCCTTTCCCCTCAGCATGGCTGGCTCAGGAATTCTGGGAGTTGAAGTCTACGTGTCATAAAAGAGCCAAGGTTGCCTACCCCTGCACTAGACCAAAATGGCTGGGGGTGTTTTGAATTGCCCCAAACTTTGGACTGGTTTTTGACTCCAGCTCTGCTGTTTGTTTGTTTGTTTGTTTCAGAGCAGTGAGAGGGTCCTCATGCCTATTTCTGAGCTACATTTCACTGCCCCTCAACAATTTAGCCCCTGGTTTATTGAAGCTGTCATTCACAACAGAGGACAAATGGTCCAGGTTTGAAATACTTCTGCTTTCAGAGCTCTGTGACTGGATCATATGGACTGAATCAAAAGCTCATCAGCAACTGAGAGGATTTAAAACATTTTTGACTGTGTCTGCATTTGTTCTATGCTTGACGGTACTTCTATGCCTCTCTACCTCATGGATTACATTATCAGTCGTCTCTCCCCTGGGATTCTGGGAAATCATAAGCACGTGTTCCACAAAAAGTATCTGTGTCCTTTCCAGGATGGCTTCATAAATCTCTGCTTCCTGTAGAATATAGCATTTTAATGTGGTTTTATGATATTTCTTTTTGGGTCGAATGGAACCATACCTCACCATATCATTCTGAAAATAAAATAGAATAAAATACTGGAGCAGCAAGAATTGGATTGAGAACTTTATCAGATTTTTTTAAATACGTACAGGTAGCCCTGGACATACAACCATTCACTTAGTGACCGTTCGAACTTACAACGGCACTGAAAAATATTGGCTTATGACCACTTTTCACCATTGCAGCATCTGCATGGTCATGTGATCAAAATTTGGACCCTTGCCAGCTAGCTTGCATTTATGATGGTTGCAGTGTCCCGGGGTCATGTGATCACATTTTGTGACCTTTCGACAAGCTTCATGTCAGTCAGAGTACTGCGAACTACGCAAAGGGCTGGCAAAAACTTTCCAATTTTTTCAAAGTTCTTTTCTAATTCTAAGAAATCACAAGATTTAAACACGTAAACAAAATCTCTTCTTCAAGAGTAGAGAAGTAGATAGGGAAATAGTCAGCAGATGGATACATAGAAGCCAATTGATGTAGAGATCAAGGTGCTGGCCTAGAAACGAGGAGGCTGTGAGTTCGAGTCCCACCTTAAGCATGAAAAACTGACTGGGTGACTTGGGGCCAGTCACTCTCTCTCAGCCCAACCCACCTCACAGGATTATTGTTGTAGGGGAAATAGGAGGAAGAAGGAATATGAGGTATGTTTATCACCTTGGGTTGTATATGAAAAAAGTGGGATAAGGATGTATTAAGAATATAATAAATCTCTACCTCTGCCTCACCTCAAGTAATTTGATTGCTGGACAATTGCTCTTCTACCTCATAGGTGCCTTTCAATTCCCACCACATTTTTCTAGAGTCCACCAAATTAACATGTAACAAGACTGGAACAATTATCTCCCTCCATTGTACTGTAACCGTGTATTGGATTTTGGCCTCCAAGGGGATGCTCCAATTTACACACCGAACGATTATCCCTTGTCTGGTTGAAAAACTCTCCACTGGTACCTTAATCTTCTTGCAAACGTCTGATGGAACCTCCTCAGTCTCCCCTTGTCTGCCCTATTTGCATTGGAAGCAGACCGATAATGCTTTCCAGATGACTCCTGTTCCACGGCTCCTTTTATAAGGCAATCTATATTTTTTTAAAAAATAGAGAGACAGAAACGCTCAGCCACTTTCTGAATTCAATTGCTTACCTCTGCCTTTGCAAAATTAGAACCTGTTTGCTTACTTTTACAACACCTGTGAGCACAAAGCTCATTTGAACTATGATATGTAAATCTCTTTTCAGCTGGGGATGGCTGGCTGAAAAGATAGATCAGGCATACTCTGTGGCATGGGAGATCAGCAGGAGAATATTTTGCCTGGAAGAAGACAAAAGGCGCAGGATTCTGAATACAAGATTCCCCATAGCTGATTTTAAAGCTAGGGCGTTAAAAGGGGAAGAAAAATTAAATCTTCATTTCCCCCCCTACCAATTCTCATTCAGATATGGAATTTGCTTTTGAAATTTCTTTTGGGAAAGAATAGAATTTTAGGAAAACACCTAAATTGAAGTTGTGAAGGAATTCATTCCATGGCTCTTTTCCTTCTGGAGAAATACAGGCTGTCCCTGACTTATAACAGTTAATTTTGTGATTGTTCAACGTTACAACAGCATTGAAAAAAGTGACTTATGACTGTTTTTCACACTTATGACCATTGCAGCATCCCTGTGGTCATGTGCTCAAATCCAAACACTTGGCAACTGACTCGCATTCCTGACAGTCAGAACAATTAACCAGTGGAACAACCTGCCTCCAGAATGCTCCAACACTGGAAGTTTTTAAGAAGAGACTGGACAGCCATTTGTCTGAAATGGTATAGGGCAGGGGAAGGCAACCCTGGCTCTTTTATGACTCATGGACTTCAACTCCCAGAATTCCTGAGCCAGCCATGCTGAGGGGAAAGGGAGAGGTTTCCAAGCTGAGCCATGCTGGCTCAGGAATTCTGAGAGTTGAAGTCCACGAGTCATAAAAGAGCCAAGGTTGCCTACCCCTGGTATAGGGTTTCCTGCCTGAGCAGGGGGTTGGACTAGATGACCTCAAAGATTCCTTCCAACTTTATTGTTATTGTTATATTGATGATGGTTGCAGTGTGTCGATGTCATGTGATCACCTTTTCTGACCTTCTGACAACCAAAGTCAATGGGCCAGGCAGATTCACTTAACAACCTTGTTACTAACTTAAAAACTGGTGATTCATTTAACAACTGTGGCAAGAAAGGTGGTAAAATGGGGCAAAACTCACTTAAATGTTTCACTTAGCAACAGCAATTTTGGACTGAATTGTAGTCGTAAGTCGAGGATTACATTTATGCCTGCAGGGAAGTCTCAGATAGAGATGCAATTCATCCTTCAAAACAAGGGGTGAAATCCCAATCCACAGGCCAGAAAGAAAGAAATCCCAAAATCTTGAGTTTAGAACAGAGATGGAGAACTTATGACACACCTGTCACACAGGTGACACATCATGTCATTTTTAGTGACATGCCAAGTCTCCAGACCTTCTGGACATTGTGCAAGAGGGCCATGTTTTTGCACCACCTCTGGGGCTTCCAAAATGTGGAAAAATAGTTTGGGCTTTCCCGCTCTTTTTGGATGCTGGAAGGGCTATGCAAGAGCATTTTCTGATATTTCCAGACCTTGTGAAATCTCAAGCTGCGTCAAATAAACATTTTGAAAAATATTTACAATTATATATTTATTTATTTATTTATTTGGGGTGGGGGTGGGGTGTGATGTCTCAATAGTTAAAGAGGCTGAGCTTGTCAGTCAGAGAGCTGATAGGTTGGGCTCAAGACCCTACGCAATGGGGTGAGCTCCCATTCCTTGCTCCAGCTCCTGCCCGCCTAGGAGTTTGAAAGCATGAAAATATGAGTAGATAAATAGGTACCACTTTGGTGAGAAAGTAACAGTGTTCTGTGCCCCCCGGCGTATAGTTATGCTGGCCACATTATGCTTATGGAAATTGTCTTTGGACAATGATGGCTCCCTCACCCAAGAACAGAAAGGAGCACTTTGACAAGATTTTGTTAACTTCAGATGAGAAAATAATTAAGAAAATGTATAATCTTTTATTAATTGTGGAAATGGAAAGCGTACAAGTTAAAGAAACAATGATAAGATGGGCGAAAAACTTTGGATATAATATAGAATTAGAAAAATGGCAAAGTCTATGGGAAAGAAATTATAAATTGACAATGTCAACTCCCTATAAAGAAAATTTATATAAAATGTTTTATAGATGGCACTTGCCACCAGCAAGAGCAGCAAAAATGTTTAAAAATATGTCAGATAGATGTTGGAAATGTAAACACAACTCAGGCACGTATTATTATGTGGGGTGGACATGTGATAAAGGAAAAAAAAAATTTGGAAAAAAATACATACTTGGTTAGAAAAGATGTTGGTGGAATATGTAGATTTTAAACCTGAACTTTTTTTATTAGGTATAATGCCAGAAAAGATTAACAAACAAAACCTAAATTTGATTTTACACGTCACAACAGCGGCAAGAATAATATTTGTGCAATATTGGAAAAATGAAGGAATACCACCAGATAAAGAAATAATCAAAAAAATATTGGAATGTGCAGAGATGGATAGATTGACCATGAGACTGAAAGAAAAAGAAGAAACAGAATATTATCAAACTTGGGACTTACTTTACCAATGGTTAGAAGAAACAATAAAGGATTAGGAATTTAATATGTATTAGCGTATTTAAACTCAGATAGCACGTTGGTTGAAAAAATATTATTACATGTATGGAAAAAAATTAATAAAATTTTACAAATTAAAAAAAAAGAAAGGAGCACTGTGCCCTAGAGTCACGCAACACTGACTGGAAAATCTTTACATTTATTTATTTATTTATTTATTTATTTATTTATTTATTTATTTATTTTTCAATTCAATTCATTTATTTGTGTCTGTGTAAGAGAGAGAGAGAGAGAGAGAGAGAAAGAGAGACAGAGAGACTGAGACAGAAAGAGAGAGAGAAACATTCCAGCAGTTTTTGGAGGTTTGGGGTCTACTGAATCCAAAGGTTTTGCTATCACTCGTTTAGAGGGAGGTATAATTTTTTCTGAAGAAAAGAAGGACGGGAGGTGTCTTATGATGCCATGGGTATCATAAGAATATTTAGGTTCTTAACCTATGCAAACATGAAAAATACTAATGGAGTCAGGTATGCACTTGCTGGGCAAAATCTCATTTTAGATAATGCTTGTGGTTGCTAAGAGATTCTTGATAGAGGCTGGGATCTGTACCAATTGGCTAAACTTATGACAACAGAAACAGCAACCAGCTTGCCAATGAAGATAATAATAATAATAATAATAATAATAATAATAATAATAATAATAATAATAATAATAATAATAGTAAAGTTGGAAGGGACCTTGGAGGTCATCTAGTCCAACCCCCTGCTCGGGCAGGAAACACTACACCATTTTGGACAAATGGCTGTCCAGTCTCTTCTTAAAAACTTCCAGTGTTGGAGCATTTACTGCTTCTGGAGGCAGGTTTTTCCACTGATTAATTGTTCTCACTGTCAGGAAGTTTCTCCTTAGTTCTAGGTTGCTTCTCTCCTTGATTAGTTTCCACCCGTTGCTTCTTGTCCTGCCTTCAGGTGCTTTGGAAAATAGCTTAATTCTATCTTTTAGGATCAATTATCAGAAGAAAAAAGAATCAGCAGTCACGAAAAAGGCCATAGGTGTCAATGGTTTCCTTACCTACAATTATTAGAAAGATTTAGAGTAGACAAAAGGATTTTTGGTTTTGAACATTGTAAGTGAATTGGGAAAGGAATTATGTACAAGAGATGAATTATGTAAAAGAGATGAAGGCAGGACAAGAAGCAACAGATGGAAACTAATCAAGGAGAGAAGCAACCTAGAACTAAGGAGAAACTTCCTGACAGTGAGAACAATTAATCAGTGGAACAGCCTGCCTCCAGAAGAGGTGAATGCTCCAACACTGGAAGTTTTTAAGAAGAGACTGGACAGCCATTTGTCTGAAATGGTATAGGGTTTCCTGCCTAAGCAGGGGGTTGGACTAGATGACCTCCAAGGTCCCTTCCTACTTTACTATTATTATTATTATTATTATTATTATTATTATTATTATTATTATTATATAATTCTGGGGGTAAGATGGAGCTACATTAATGGAGGTTGCCAAGGAAGCAAACAAATAGATCATAAAACAAATCAATCTAGAGTTCTCAACTGAAGCACACATTACCAGGCTAAAATTATCTTTTTTTAAAAATAATTTTTTATTTTTCCAAACTCTCCCCCATACATATACCGTAATATTTATCAGATGTTAACATACATTCTTTTTACATTCATATATAAGATACTTTTAATAAAATGAAATAAATACACACACGACTTTTGGTGTTGCTCGCCCATTTCCCCTTTCACCGTATCCACTCTCCTTCTCTACCTTCTTTCTCCCTTTCTTCTCTTCCCTACTTCCCTCTTCTTCCTCTCCTCTTCTCTTTCCTTCACCACTCTCCTCCCCTTTCTCCCCACTTCTCCTCTTCTCCTCCAACCTTCCTACTTCCTTCTCCCCTCCTTTACTCTTTTCTCTCTCCTCTCCTTTCTTCCCTCTCATGCCTCTTCAGATACAATTCAGGGGTAATGTCCGAGGCTCAAATTATCTTATGTTGGGTACATTATGTGAAGATCCAGGTCCCTTTTGAAGTCCAGTAAGGCTAGGAAAGATGGAAAGAAAGAGAAGGGGAGGACAATCAGCCATAAAATGGATGGACTTAATTACAGTGAAAATGGGGGCACTGTTGGAAGACTTGAAGGACCATGCGGGGATAGGAGAAGACACCAGCTTGATAACACATAATTAAAGAAAGAAAAGTGCCCACAAGGTGAAGTGACAACCAGCATTGTGAATTGCATGCAGAGATGTACTGGGAGACAGCTCAGCCCATGCACAGTATTGTTATGAGAGTACAATATGGTGCATCCACTGCCACGCCCAGAAAGACAGAGAGATATAGTATCTGAGAGTAGGATCTATCCAGAATCTTTACTCTGATGAAGGAGAATATTTGT